AGTGTTTTGTACCTAATGGAGTGAAAAGGTCTGATGAAAGGTCTGTGAACTTATGAATTTAGAATGTTACTATACTATACAATTCAAAAAAGACATCAGAGAGCTTTTCTGCATTTGCAGGAATATCCACGTTTGCAGGATAAGTGCATAGCAGCCTTAAAGGAGACCTAACATCACAGCACACATTTATTTTATAACATCAGCATTGCAATTACAATGTAAACAGTAGTTGTTTTTTGACAATCCGTTTTAAGCTTTCTTGAAAAATCTCCTTTCATGTTGTGAGTGCTGCCTATCTCCAGGCCATCTCCTTCAACAATTTCCTATCCCATATAGAGATAGAGATTATTATTGTTATTACATAGTATTTATATAGCGCTTTACAATATAAGGAAGACATTACAGTTACAATACAATTCAAGACAAGATGGTAAGGAGGGCCCTGCCCCTGAGGGCTTACAATCTAAAAGAGGAGGGGGAAATGATACATGAGGTAGCTGTGGTAGCTGTGGGAATGAATTATGTGAGAATGTGAAGGTTCAGTGGTTAGGTTGAGGTGGGGTAGGCTTCCCTGAAGAGATGAGTCTTTAGGGAATGCCTAAAGGCAGTCAAAGTGGGAGATAGACGGACAGGTTGGGGTAAGGAGTTCCAGAGGATGGGAGATACTCTAGAGAAGTCCTGGAGGCGAGTATGGGAGGAGTGGACAAGGGAGCTGGAAAGCAGGAGGTCAATGGATGAGCGGAGGGGACGGTTAGGGTGATACTTTGAGACTGAGATATATCCGGGGGCGGAGTTGTGGATGGCTTTATAGGTGACTGTTAATATTTTGAATTTTATCCTCTGGGCGAGTGGAAGCCAGTGGAGGGATTGGCAGAGGGGGGGATGCAGACACTGAGCGGTTGGTAAGGTGAATGAGTCTGGCAGCTGCATTCATGATAGACTGAAGGGGGGATATCCTGTGTAGTGGAAGGCCAATGAGGAGGGAGTTACAATAGTCAAGACGAGAGATAACAAGGGAGTGTATGAATAGTTTTGCGGTGTCATTGGTGAGGAAGGGGCGTATTTTTGAGATGTTACGAAGGTGAAGGCGGCAGGATTTGGATAGCGATTGGATGTTGGGAAGAATGTTGAGGTCCGAGTCAAGGATGACACCAAGGACCTTGGCATGAGGGGAGGTTTGGATAGTTGTGTTATCAATCACAATTGAAATGTTGGGGGAAGGTGCACGGGGTGGAGGAAATATCATGAGCTCAGTTTTTGAAAGGTTGAGTTTTAAGAAATGTTGTGACATCCAGACTGATATATCATTTAGTAGATTAGTGACACGCAAGGACACTGAGGGGGAGAGTTGTGGAGTGGAGAGATAGGCCTTCATAGCCCATATTATATTGCTGCCTACAAGCAGTGATGATATCACATGTGGGGCATTTCCTGTATTGACTGTGCCTCCTGAAACTCCTCCTCTTCAGCACCTCTGTGGTTCAGAGGGCAGGCTCTGTGTAACGGGTGACAGAACAGTGTATATTTATACAACATAGTAAATAGGTGTCACTGCATTTAAACAAATTAAATCCTTCAAGAAGCAAGTTTACCAACTTCAACATCGTTCAGATTATTAGGAGTAGGTTAGGACTCATGGAAATTCAATGTGAAAATGAATATATGATTTTAAAATTTTGACCACAAATTCCATTTCTAGAAATCACACAATGTTTCAGGTCATGCCTATCTTGTTTCAGGTTAGAAAACCTGTTTTTGTACCTCCATTAGTAAGCCTGTGCCAATCTCTGCTGAATATGATGATTACACTCCCGCTCTGGGACAACCATCTAAGCACCAGCTGATTGAGAGCGATGGTCACTGGAACAGATTAACCTTTTACACACACAGTAGCTGCCACCACCTGTTTTAACTAGGGATGCACAGATACTGGTTTTTCGGTATCGAGTACCGATAATGTTATTTTTACGAGTACCGATACCGGTGCTTCTGCCAACATGGAGCCGGCTTCCCGGGCAATCAGGTAGACGAGCAGCAGGTAATGACATGCCACTCGACTTCCTGATTGCTCGGAAGCTGGCTCCATGTTGTATGGCCAGCTCGATTGTGATTGTCCGGAAAACCGGCTTCCCAGACAATTAGTATCGACAATTAGTAACAGCCTCCCACCTTCCCGATTTGCCAGGAAGCTGGCTCCATGCTGATTGGCTGGCTCCATGCTGATTGGTAGGGAAGCCTGCTTCCCAGCTAATCAGAAAGGAGCCGGCTGTTCAGCTGGCTTGATGCTGAGTGGCCCAGAAGCCGGCTTCCCAGCCAAACAGCATGGGGCCAGCTTCCTGGCCAATCAGGAAGCCAGGAGGTGGGTCATTACTCGTCACCCGGCTTCCTGATTGCCCGGGAATCCGGCTCCATGTTCCCCTACGCCACTGCCGGTCAGGGGAAATCTTCCTCTGACCAGATGTTACGGTATCGGGGAAGGTATCGGAACATTTGGGCGAGTACAAGTACTCGCCCAAATACTCGGTATCGGCACCGTTACTAGTATCAGTATCGGTGCATCCCTAGTTTTAACAGAAACATGCACCATTCCCAGCATCCGCTATTGAAATTATGACTTTTAGGAAATGTCTGTAAACACTGGCTAAACAAAAATGTAATGTAAACACTAGCCGTCATGCCCAGACAGGAATTTAACAGTATTTACAATACGGTTGATGCTTCAAAGAGGCAAAATTTAAAGATAGAGCATTTCCATTTTCAGCTTAACAATTTTTATTTTTTTTACATTTTATTTTCAATATTTTTATTAAGGTTTTGTCAACAGCTTAACAATTTTTAAATATCATTTCCACCTTTGTGGAGGTACTTTAAAAAAACATGTGCCAGCAATGTACACCAAGTGTAGATGAAGCAGGCATATGCAGTTGGTGAATATAAACACAGAAACTTATATTTTTTGTTATCTTTCCTCTTCATATCCTCATGGAAACGTCCCCCTCTGTGCTTTGCAAGAAATATGTGTAAGTTACAACTGAGCTCTTTCCCCCCATTCATTAGTATTCATTAGTATTCATAATGACAAACCCCCTCCCGGACAGTGTATTGTGTGTAAAGGCAGAGCTGGTGTTTAGTGATCATGTTACAGAGAATCACAGGGAGGGGGGGCAGCTTGTTACAGCCTGCTTTACAATCCGACCCCAGTGTCAGAGTTCCCTATGGAAAAAAAATTGGATTTCTAGGATTCAGGCCTAATAATAAGTTCATAAAAAATGAAGAAAACTTGCTATGTGAGTCATGAAAATATGCACACATATACATCATCACTGCATCTCTAAATTACCACAATAAATGCTAATCATTTACAAAGTTAGAAATGTATTTTAAGCAAAGTTTGCCTGTTCTTTGATTCTGTGCTGAGTCCAAAACACTTGCAGAGTAAGTCTAATCTGATAAGGCAGAGTCACTGGCCCTCAGAAAATGTGACTCCTTAGTCATTTCAATGTCAAACAATAACAGCATTTTGTTGTCCACGGAGAGGCTGTCGCAGGTCTAATGTCACCCAATCATAGGATCTGGGTGTGAAAATAATTGAGCAGAATGAAATTACAAATTAGTAGAGACTTATTATTTATTATTACAGGTATTTATATAGCGCTGACAATTTACGCAGTGCTTTACATACTGCACATTCACATCAGTCCCTGCCCCCAAGGAGCTTACATTCTAAGGGCCCTACCTAACATACATACCTACGAGGGCCGATTTAGACAGGAGCCAGGTAACCTTCCAGCATGTCTTTGGAGTGCACAAGCACAGGGAGAACATGCAAATTCCTTGTAGATAGTGTCCTGACCAGGATTTGAAACAGGGACCCTTAAGTGCAGCAAGGCAGAAGTGCTAACCACTACTACCTTGTTAGTCAGGAACCAACTTGAGTTTAGTTAGTGGCTCAGACAAGCAGATGTTTTATTTGCTTTATGCTATGGACTGCCTTTGAAACTGTGTTTGTTTGCTGCATGAATGAATAACAGTGCAAGACAAACCTGCCTGGACTGCTCCTGAGCGCCCTCATCTCATGCATGGTTTACTGCTACAAATACCACTTGAGCCCGTCCTCCTTACAGAGTGTAATCTGCTTTTACTAACAAATGACTTGTAATTCCATTCAGCCAGGCTTGTGATTCAGGCACTCCTGCAACACAGCCAGACATGTTACACCCATACTTTCCTGTTTTAGTTTTGCCTTTAGCCTGTCGATTGGTCAATGAATAGGAATCATAAAAACTTCTATGTCATTGTCAATTAAACAGACAGGTGAGACAGGTAGGTGTAAAAGCTGAACCAGGAATTAGGGGAGTCATTTCTGGGTTTGCAGTGTGGTAGATGTGTGTGCTTCACAGGACTGTAATAAGTGAAGAAATCACCAGCAAGAATTTCAGACCTTGTTTATTGACATCCAAATCAGGACTTACACTGTATGGCAACGTTTCGGAGCGCACAATGGTTCCTTCTTCAGGCAACGAAGTGTCACTTTGTGGTGGTAATTTCTTCACTTATTACTGATCTGCCAGCGGCGCTATCCGCAGTCACTGCAGCATCCATCATCTATCCCTTGGATCCTTTCTGGTTAGGAGTGCAACTGACCATATGCCATTAAAAATCTTTTATTAGGTAAACAATTCACATACATGTGTTTTGATTGTATGTTTATCTGTCTGCCTGGAGCTATGCTTTAAGAATTGTCATTGTTCTGTGTGTGTCCGATGAGTGGGTTCACATTAAAGATGAAAAGATACCAGCACATTTATCGCTCTCCCAGATTTAATTTTTTACCAACCTGGACTCCAGAAGTGATCTGTATATCATATGTTGTTATATTGCTGTATGGTGTTTAAATCATGAAACATTATATAGATATGGGGACTATGCAAATGAAATAAATTGTTTTATTGAAGGAAAACAAAATCAAGTCAAGCGGCTGATTTGGTTTATTGTACTTGTCAGAAGCAAAGCATGAGAAAATGTGTGCGCAGTATTTCTTACATTCTGGAACATACACATATTTTAAGCTACATTTCTTTAAATAATGCAGCACAGGAAATTGTAACAAATAGTACGGTCTCATCTATCTTTCCACACTTCCCAGAAAATGATTTTGCTGCTGTAATAGAAGTTACAGTAGTTGAGACTATTGACGTATACTGCCAACATCTCAGTATTTTTCATTTCATTCACCGTGGCCTCAGAACACCTCATATTAATTTCTATCTTAAGAGCTCCTCATCCGAATCCTGCTTTCCAGAGTCCAATTTAATCAGTCTCTTCTCCAGCCTCAAAGATATCAGATCCTTCCTGGTGATCATCCCAACTGCCCTGTTCTGAAGATCTACAACTGTCAGATGGCGCAGTCCCAGAGTTCGGAACAAAACATAAGCCCGCTGCAGAGAGAAATGAGCTTGGACGCACACGGCTGACTTATTAATATATGGCTCCTGTGAAAACAAACTCATTGTTAGAACATGTGCCAATTCGCAATAGGGCAAAACTGTTTAAAGGAGATTCAGAAATATGTTTGGAGCACAACACAATTCTACACATACTGTATGTACATATATGAATTTCAAATAGAACTCCTCATTTAAAGCTAAGGTTCGGAAAGATATAAAAGGCACAAATGAATGCCACACTTTAATCATTAATATTACAGGTATTTATATACTGCCGACAAGTTATGCAGTGCTTTACATACCACACATTCACATCAGTCTCTTCCCTCAAGGTGCTTACAGTATAAGGCAGGGGTGAGCATCTCCAGCCCTCCAGCTGTGCTTTAACTCCAAATCCCAACATGTCTGTAATTGTCAGTCTTGCAATGCCTCATGGCACTAGTAGTTCCACAACAGCTGGAGAGCCGGAGTTGTCCATCCTCGGTCTAAGGTCTCTACCTCACATGCATACATACAGGGCCAATTTGGACAGGGGCCAATTGACCTACCAGTACGTCTTCAGCGGGAGGAAACCCATGCAAGCACAGGGAGAACATGAAAACTCCCTGTAGATGTCTGACTGGAATTCAAAGGCAGTAGTGCTAACCACTAAACCAGTGTGCTGCCAAAAAAACTATCATTATATGTGTTTATTAAATGCATATAGCATAAGTACCCGAGTTAGACTTGGTATCAGTCTCTTGCAGTCTACTGTACAGCAAAGCTCAGAGAAGAGGAGAGTGAGACATTTCAACAAGCCAACTGCAGGGTGCTGCAGTGTGATCAGCATGCTGATAGAAAAAGAGAGCAGAGTGACAGAGATATGAGCTAATCGGTGCATTGCTTCTCTTTTCATTGTCCAGTCAACGGGTAGGGGTGGGAAGGAGACCTGTAAGTAAAAGTGAAACTGCAGGAGAAGATCAGGTCCCCTTCCCTGCCAAGCCGTACCCTGTTGTGTGGAAGAGCTGGGTAAATCTAAGGAAGGAAGTACAAATCCTTTGGCAGGTAAAACAGCTGTCATAGATGTGTTTCATTTGTGTATTTAGCGGCTTGCTGGGAGCTAGGCTTTAAGATAAAATGCACTAATTGTTTCCAAAGTGCAGTGATAGGCTACTATCAATCAATTTATTCTGTATCCTCACATGACTACAGTTAGGTGAAATGTGATCAGTTTATATAGGTAGTGACACTTTGACTAAATGATGGATATGTGTAATGTAATGTGTACATGTTTCTGTCCCCAAAAAAGGGTATAAAATTCATTTCAGTACAGCGCTGCATGACGGAATAAATGTCAGTTAAAGTACCGCAGCGCTGAATACTGAAAAATGGCCTGGATGGGAAGGGGGTTTAACACCGCGGATGTCAACTGGTTAAACATTCATTGTACTCCTTAGTGAACATTTTAAGTCAATTACAGAAATCCCCTGATTGTTAGTATGTGCTAATTTTATAAACATCTTCATATTTCTATATAAACTATCTAAAAAAATAAATTTCATGATACCAAAAGATCCAAAACAGTTTTGGAGGCAGCCAACAAGAGAAACAAAACCAGTTAATTGTGTTCATGCAAAACATCTATTCTATTCTAAAGAAAAACTCCAAGAACATTTCTGCTTCCAGTCTCAGACTGGACAGAAACGCACCACAATTTTTTGACCCTCTCAAATAGAAAAGGCCAAGCTGCGCTATAAGGGTTATCCAAAGTAAATGTTCTACTGAGTGCAATGCACAATCGTATAGTGATACCTTCTACCTAATAAAATGCCAATCAGCCCTGAAAATGACTTCTTATTAGAGAGTCTGAAAGAGCTTGTCACATCTGACTCTCAAGTGCGTCCTGACTCTCGAGCACTTTGTGGCCACCTTGTAATAAGTAACAATTTTCCAGGATGACTGACATTTAATTAGGTAGAAGGTGTACACACACTTTGGTTGACCCATGTTGCACAGAATGACCTTTTCTATATAGAAGGACATACACTGTGATGAGTTGTTATCCAATTTGTAGCTAGAGACAGATGTATCCTCGGAGCTTTTCTTGGTCTATAATGATGTTTTTTCTTCATATTGGTATCTAAAATGATCACATATTGTAACTCCAATTGCAGGAATAAAATGCTTCCTGTGAAAAAATAATTATAGTGTATGTTGAGGCAATTTTTATTTTCTTAGTGTTGGGTAGAGTGGAGAAGATTTAAAACTGCTATCTAGGGCTCGGTTAGAGAGATTTACCATCACTTCCTGTACTGCTGGCAATGTTTCACCAGACAGGAAGTGTGGGGAATTTAGATAACAACAGCTCAGACTTAACTAAAAATGCTTTTCTCTAGTAGTGTAAGGTGAAGGCTGGGTCATAGACTTTTGACTATACCCGTTCATAATGTGGACTTTCACTCAGCATGAGGTTGTAGTTACACAACCACATAGAGACTTTTCTAAAATGTACACAGGCTGAAAAAACTTTCTGTGCTTTACCAAAACTGTTCATTGTTGCTAGTTATTTACCTTTACCAGCATACCATCTAGCTTTCAGCATGCACACCTTTTAAAGAAGAACTCCAGGTAAAGAAAAAAAAAAACTTACCCTTGCATTAAGGTTACCCCTGCACTGCAAGGGTTAAGTGCAAGGGCTTGTTTTGTCTAGGGGGCTCAGATAAAGCAAATATACTTAACCGATCCTCAGTCCCATAGCAGTAAAGACTCACCACCCTCCCCCTCTGCTCCGACTATGAAATGTCCTTTGGCATCCTCATGTCTAATGCAGGTCAATGGACCAGCATAACATGTGGTGACATCAGCGGTCCCTAGACCGCCAGAACCCTTGTTTCCCTATTTCCACCCAGTTAAAACAAAAAAATCTATGTATACAGGTCTGATACCAAATGAAAGTCTTTTCAACACCAAAAAAAAAAAGTATGATCCTTATGGAGAACTACGAATGCTTTTAAGCTACATAACTGAAGCCTGACCTTAACACTCTGGGACTTAAGTGATTAATAGAAAGTTCCCCTTTTACAAAAAATAAATAATAATAAATGATTCTTCATAAAAATAAATAAATAAAACCCCACAAATCAGGTAAGTGGCAAGCAGGCAAGACGGGGGTGGGGGAAGTTGCGACCTAACCATGTTTCATGTTCATCCTAAATATGGGGGTAACATCAAACATGTTCAGAAAGGTAGACTATTAGTCCTTAAAGGCTAAGTTCACCTTTTGCAAAAATTAAAGAAATGCATATTTAATCATATTAAAAAATATGCATTTCTTTCATTTTTGCATTCAAGCCTGGAAAGCATTCTGATCACTCGATCACAGCTGCAAAGCTCAGGCTTCTTCACATTCTCGCTCAGGCAGAGCTTGTACTGAGTTCCGGAGTTTCAGTTAGGAGAAATGGGGGGAAGGACGACTGGACTTTAAACTGCATTACATCAGGTCATACAGTGTCCAGCCGTCCTCTCTCTGGTTAGATGCGGTAGAGCTGACCTTATTCCCATCCGGCCGTCCCTATCCATCTCTCCTAACTGAAACTCCGTACCTCAGTACGAGCTCTGCCAGGGATAGAGTGTGCAGAAGCCTGACCTTTGCAGCTGTGATCGAGTGATTACAATTGCAATGCTTTCCAGGCTTGAATGCAGAAATGAAATTATTTTTTTAATATATTATTAAATGTGCATTTCTTTAATTTTTGCAAAAGGTGAACTTAGCCTTTAACCAACACCCCCCTGTACATTTGGACTGGACTTGTTCTTAAAATATGTAAGCAACAGCTTAGCTACAACATTCCCTAAATATTTGATTATTAGCGACAACATTCCCTAAATATTTGTCAAATTTCATTATTAGAAATGATGTTATAATTCACCTTATTTTGTATGGATGGTTGCTGCAGCCTGCGATTCTATTGCATGTATATATGCGTTTGATTGGGTATGTATGATGTCGTTTTCAACAACGTGCTATGGCGGTGATTTATATGTGATTTGAATTATTATGGTCTTTGTAAGTTTTTACATTTTGCTACACTGTTAAATTTATGTGGAAAAAAAAGAGTTCAGAAATAGTCGTACTCCATAAATCGGACTGTGTACATTGCTACTATACCATAGAGATTCTCATCACCAGAATAAATGAAACCATACTTTCTATACTGCGACTCAAACTGCATTAATGAGGTGCTGAAAGCAGGATTTGTTAAACCGTTGACCGCAGGCATACCTTCAGCTATTGTGACTGGACCAAATCCAAGTATTAAGATTGAGAATGAAATCAAACAACATTTTTGTTTTCTTTAGCTGTAGTATATTAGATGCTTAAAATCTCTTTACAGTCTATTTCATTTCCTTGATAGTAAAGTATACTGTATACTGTGCTGAGGAAAGTGGGTGGCTGCGGGAATCATGGAACCTGTACAGTGTACATCCAGACAGCAAGGCTCACACTGCTGCATGCATCCATCTTTGACATTCTCATGTAAACACACCCGACAGAAAGAGATTTTCTCACACAAAAATATCTTCATTTACCCTCCAGATGTGCCATCAAAATTACAAGAAAAGAGTTACACATAAAAATAAATTGATGTTAACGGGGCTAAAAGAACATCCTGTGACATTCACTGGCATACAGTTTGAACAAATATTGTCTGAAGCTTTTTCTCAGTGCACTTACTGCTAGTGAACACAGCTGTCACAGATACAGTTCATGCAGCATCATTATCGCAGCGGTTGATTAAAAGGATGCTTAAAAAAAAACTCTGTGCAAACCTTTTCTTAACCCCTGCAGTGGACTACCCCCACCCTGCAAGGGTAAATGCTCCTTTTTGTCTAGGTGCAGAAACAAGCACTTAACCAAGCACTTAACCCTTGCAGTGCAGGGGTAGCCCCACTGCAAGGGTCAAGAAAACAACTTCGACAGCTTTGTGAATAACCCCCATAGTTTCACCTTTATTAGATGATCCTCTCATTTCCTTTGAGGTTCATGTCAACAGGCATTCTAGTGAAGTGCTGCATTTTCCATTTGAACATATGCAGCTATTTATTGTTTCCCATAGTTACCAGAATCCATGTTTCATTTTAACTCGGCACCACGGAAATGAATAGTTGCTATGGGCAACTAAAATGTATCTTATTAGCACAATTTTCACACATTGTCCCTATAGTCACCATAAAAGAAAGGTTAAAATATGACTTGGACAGGTTCATACATAGCCCAGCAACAACATGCACTAATGTTCATATTATAGGCATTGGCTGAATGCATCATATGAAGTTGCACTACTTCAACATTTGGCACGCGGGAACTTTAAGGAATTCTTAATGGTAATTACAAAGGACATTGTTAAGAGTAAAAAGGTCATCACAGAATAGTTATTCAGGAAAAAAAAAAGAGGGGCGCGCTATTATCATATTTATTAAGCATTACTAAAACAGCCAGATATGACATGTAAATTATATATTATCCACAGACCGCGTATCACAGTGTCAATCTGGAATGCATTTTAATAGAAACAAAAAACTCCTCGAGACTTCTTTGTTGTATTTTCTTGCTGGCTCATTTTATCAACATCTGTTATGTTTATACAATATGAATTAAAACCCAGGAATGCTGTTTGTACTGTGCTACTTTTGTTGAAAATGTAAAGTCTCAGGATTGGCAATGTTTATGTAAATCAGTGCGGCTGACACAGCCATCATAAACAAATGATTTAAATATAACAAACACATTGTTCACAGAGGAAATGTTTGTTTTTGTATTTGGCTCTGTCCTTACCAGATTGATGAAGAGTTGCTGATACTGAGGGTCTGCAGAATATTTGTTCAGCAATGTGTTCAACCGAGCCTCATCAGGAAGCTTTTCCACCGTTACCTGGAAGAGACCGCAGAACGTAATGCACTTGAGAAACAAAAGAAGCAGGCCCAGGCATTCACACTAAATGAACACACTACAAAAGATGAATGACCATTCACAATTACTGCTGATGAGCCTGAATGATCCCGGACACAGTAATAGAGAACGGGGACCTATCATAATCTCAGCAGGTGTTATATGGCTAGATAAACAATCTTTAAAACAAAAGAAAGAGTAGAAAAAAAATTGCTAGCTTCATCCCACTGTGGTATCGATATGTTCAGAAAACTAACACCTGTTAGCAGGATGTGCTAGTACTCCCAGCATGTCACTATACTGAATTGTCAGGCCCCAATTCTAGGTGTGACCTTGAAAAGCAGTTTCCTGTCCTGGCAAAACACTGAAAAGACTTCTTTGAAGCGGATCCTCCGTGTGCTATTTGATGGTCTCACTGTGAAGCTATAACATGTTATAACATATAGCCGGCCACAAGAAAAGTTTTTAATATAGTCTTCAAGGCTATTAAAGTTTATCTGGACTGTCACTTCAGCAATCTGGACTGTACACCAGGTTGAAGGGAGCCAGCCAATAATTGCATGTCAAAGGTTTTTTCAATTGCATAGGCTGGTTTCAAAACCACAAACGCAAGCACAAGAGAAGAAAAAATGGCAGGAAGAGGACACAAGAATAGTCACAAGTATAAACTAGCATGTTTATTTTTGTCAACACAAATGACGGAGCAGCGCTACTACCCTATGGGGGCGCTGGCAGCCCTAGTGTGGTTAGCAGTGTGAAACAGGAAAAGTAATGGGTGACTTACGGTTAGGATTTCAGCAGACGTGCCTGAAGGTCCCCTGTGGAGTGGCGTCCGGGGTCTTGTATTACTCCGAGGCTTGATAAAGAGGATATCCCTCGAAACACATAGCCGACTCCAATCACACCTCCCTCTGTTACTGACCCACAGCAACTGGTGCACTTCTGACAGTCTTCTCCGACACGGCGTGGTGACACACGGCAGGTTGTGTCCTAGAGCCGTCAGCGGTTCATCTCTTCCCCCTCCAGCCGCCGCGCGCTCGGCCTGGCCAGCCGAGTATGTGAGCCTGGTCTACACATCACACTCAAGTTCCGGTCCGGCAGCCATCCATCCCTTGCCATTTGCCCAAAGGACCTGACAAGACCCCGGACGCCACTCCACAGGGGACCCTCAGGCACGTCTGCTGACATCCTAACCGTAAGTCACCCATTACTATTCCTGTTTCACACTGCTAGCCACACTAGGGATGCCAGCACCCCCATAGGGTAGTAGCGCTCCTCAGTCATTTGTGTTGATTTTTGTGATTCACAGGGTTCCTCCCCCTGTCTTAAGGAGCTTTGCACACCGTTGCGTTACGTTGCGCGGCCGAAATCGACAGTCACGCAAAAAAAGGTGCAGGAGCGCTTTTCGAGCAGTTGTCACACGTTTGTGGTTCCATAGACATCTCTATGCATTGAAAACCGCTATCGCCTTGCCTTATTCATTCTATAACCCACCTCAAGCCTATACTCCTATCTGTTTTACTAGTAATTTATAATGATTTCGCATTTTACTTGTTTTACTAGTACACTGTATTGAGGTTGCAAACTCATCTTTGTAACATGTATAATAAGGGCAAAGGCATGTATCATTGGCTCAATGGTCTAGGTGTGAACCTAGCCTTATAGTTCTGAAAAATAAACAGTTTTAAGCTATTTCAAATGCTGATTAAATTTAATGCAATGGGTGCTGTTCCTTGATGTTTAAAAGTTTTAGCTTCCTGCAATCAGCTGGTCAACTGAGCCCTGGCCCTGATATCCTGGTGTGGTGGCTCCTTATCCCTTGCATGGTCCCATGGAGCCACCCCTCTCTGTGCTAGTAAGCGGTGTGTGTCTCCACAAACACACAGGCACAGCAAGCTATTCTCCTGCTCCTCCTTCCTCCTTTCTCACTTCTCCAAACTATTGGATGGACAGCTGCTGGACACAGTGCTGTCCTTTGTGATTTTGTACTGAACTAGAAGTTCAGGGAGCCAAGCTGAGAACCAGCTGTTCGGAAACATGATGACTGTAAGTGCATGGACAAAAATGTACAGAAATACTTTGCTGGGCAATGTATATTTGTTTGATCTGGATTCATAATTGAAAAAGTTTAAGAGTTTAATACTACTTTAATTCCCTGAACTGATACCACCTCTTCTATCCATAGCATTCAGCCCTAGTAGTGAACCCTAGTAGTGAGTTTACTATGTCGATAGTTCTCCTACTACCTGCACTTGATTTAGACATGATTTATTTTTCTGCCATAGCTGTCCGTTTTTTGTCTTGTTTATTGCATTTGGTATGTTCCTCTGTTCCCTCCTCCTGTTTTGGTGCTAGTTACGGTCTTTAGCTAGACACTCCTTGCTTTTCTCTGATACTCAGTTTTTGCTATGCCCATGATCTATAGTTATGCCCCTGGGAAAGTCCATAGCACTGGATAATCTAAAATGTGAATGACTTCTTAGCATACACAGAGTGACTTTACCTGTTCCTGGCAACTGAACAGAGAAGTGGGGTAGTAAAAAAAAAAAAAGGTGAGTTTGTGGTGCTGGTAAAGAGGGGATATAATTAAATCCCCATATTTAATGAGTGAGAAAACATCATAGTTGAAGCAAGCAATAAAATTAGGCTGTGATTATAATCTGACTGACTGTATATAAATAATGTATATCATATTTTTTGCATACATTAAATCTGTATTTGCTTCTGTGTTATTAATTAAAAAAACAAGTGAAAGCTTTACTTTAGAGGAACTGTAAATACTAGGTAAATTTAGGCTTAAAAAAATAAGGACTGAAGTCCTTTATTGGTCTGCCAAGAACACATCTTGGCAGAAGTCAAGCTACGTCTTCAATGCGTGCCATAACATACCCACACTCAGTTGTTAAATGTAAATCAGCTGAACCTAAATAATGCTTCATGTCAGCTAGGAGTTGCAATTACAAAGTATTGCAGTTTTGAAAAAAACAAGAAAACTGAACTCCCATCCATCGTAGCTGGCTGTATTTGGTTCAGTGTCTCCAGTGCTACAGATGTTTTCTTCTACTGAGTTGCTGTAGCACTAGTCAGAATTCAACATCATTTATTAGTATATTAAATGTAGGGGTACCTTGGCAAAAGGTTATAGAAAAAAGGAGCACAAACAGTGGCGTAACAATCACTATAGCGACCCAAGCGGCCGCTTTAGGGGCCCGGGGCACAGGGGGGCCCGGCCAGGACATTCCTGATGCCCTGCGGGCCGCCTGGGTTGCTTTGGCAGATCACGCTGCTGGCTGTCACTGGCGGCTGTGAAGAGAAATGTGCCGCTGTTCAGATCACTGGCAGTGATCTGTGCAGCGGCGCGTTCCTCTCCACAGCCGCTGCTGAGTCAGTGAGAGCCAGCAGCGGCGGTGGAGCAGGCTGGACCCAGCAGTGGAGGAGG